TCACTTCGCGGCTGCCTTCGATCCTTTTTCTCGCAAACTCGCGAAACAAAAGTGCCACGGCGCGCGCGGCCACGGAAAGTGGAAAGAAAGACTGACGCGTTTCTCTCGTATATATGTTAAATATTTCGCGGTCCTTCTGTCCATTGTTTCCCCGCAGAGCGCGAATTGATTTTATTGGCTCTCTCGAACTCGGTCGGATTCCCCCACCGATTTGTCCACATTGCGCTGTACATACGTGTTTCACATACGCTATCTCTATCTCTATCTCTCTCTCTCCCTCTCTCTCTCTCAAAACATATCAAAATACACTTTCAATTTAATTATCTATAACGAACTTTCGATATATCTTACTTCTCTCTCTCTCTTTCGTTAATTTACAAAATATTGCAAAATTAAAATTGAATTTCGCGCGAAGTTTACGTCTGCAATCAAATCCAGATTCGCGCAAATGGATCGCAAAGGAATTCGAAATGATATTCGCGCTGGGGGTTAAAAGAAACGGTCGGTGTGTATATCGTCTTCATATTTCGTTAGATAAGACGCGGAGAGAAGCTGCGTACGCGATAAGAAGTCCGATTCTCTCTCTTTCTCTCTCTCTCTTTTTCTCTCATTCACATAATTTCTAACTTGAACATTTATAACTTTCCGCATCGTTACGCTTATTAGGACGGTACGAAAAAGAAATCTGTTTGCATCCTTTAACGACGCGCGCGCGCGCGCTACCCCCTCCCCCCCCTCACCGCTCCCCCGTTATAATACTAAATTTCGCGGTAACGCACAGTGATCATAAATACTTTGCATAACATTACCACCGTGGCGTTGCTCGGGAAAAGTGTGCATGAAATATTCAGCGAGTCGAGAACAACCCCGCCCGACTTGTAACGTCGGCCGCGTAAATCGTTGCATTTTATCGATATCACACGCGCGATATCTCGCGCGCATATATATGTACATATATATATATATACAAGCAGCCTCTTTATTATTTTCGCGTTCGCTTATGAATTGAAGGGGGGGGGGAAGAAGATCTCTCTCTCACACGCCTGGGAAATTCATCGCGCGCGCCGCGCGTTGCATCGCTTTTCGGCGCCGCTGTGAAAATCTCGCAACGTTCGCGAGACAGAAAACGATGCAACACGCGATATCGTTCGCGCGCGATAAATACACACACGGCGAAACTCGCGCGAATGCTAATTATCTTCAATAAGGCGGAATGTTCTCCCCCCCCTCCCCCTCCCCCTCACTCTCACTCCCTTCATCGGTATTTACTAGGAATATCCTCTTCACTAAGCGGATTATCCGACTTTATGTATAAGTCTACTTCTTCTACGAAAGTAAAGTTTCGAGATTCTCTCTCGCGGAATTTCTTATTTCGCATAACACTGACTCTCGCCTCTTTTTTATTGCGAAAAACCGGCACCGATGGAAGTTATCTCGATCCCGGAGCCGAAGATGACGGGATATAAATTGCGACGAAAATCATGCAAAAACGCATCAAAGAAGTATCTCAAGACTTTCCGCGAGGGAAGAAGTTTCCTTCCGCAAAAATGTGTGGAAATTACGTTTAACGGGTGGTTAAAATACATCGGCGATAAGTCGTCGTCGCCGCCGCCGCCGCCGCCGATGAAGATATCCTCCCCGCGCGCAGATAATCGGCGGCGCCGAGAGATAAGACGTTTTCGAATTTTCCGGGGCGGGGACGGCGAGATAATATCCGCTTGTGATTTCTTTTTTTTTTTTTTTTTCTTTATCTCCGGAACTGTGACGATTCCGTGAATAATCGGTGCGGCGGCTGAGAGACCGCACCGCTATGGACCGGGCACGGAGTCGGCACGGTTGGCACCTAAGCGCATAGCTAGTCGACCTGCATCCACGGATATGCAGGATTCCGACGTCGATGGACCTCATACCACTGGAATGCACCGAACGAGCTACAGGCTCTCCCATACCCCAGAGCTCCGCCCCAACCCTCCTATGCTATACGGCACGCGCTTCTTCTTCTTTTTCCCCTCTTTCTCTTGCCTTCTTCTCTCTCTCTCTCTCTCACAGTACCAGACCCCCCCTCTCTCTCTCTCCCTCTATTCTTCTTTCTTTCCCTTCGCCGCGATTCTTTTCTTTTTTTTTTCTCGACCTTAACGTTTATCAGTTACCACTCCAGATGTGTTAATGGCTTCGGCTCGCCGGTTGAATTACCGAGCGGCGCGAATCTCGGGTTTTTGACCGATCTTCCGAAACCAACCGGTTGCGTCGCGAGACGCGTCGCGCGATGCAAAACCTCGGGCGCTCTTAAAAAAAAAATTTTTAACAGTTATTCAAACATCCTCGAATGTAACAAACAATCACATCGAGAGATAATTGATGAAACAAACGTGATTTTTATAGAAAATCAATTCAAATTATAGTAAAGTACATGTTTTTTTTCTTTTAATATAAAATTATATATTTTTAAGAGACTGTGAAATATTTTTGGAGAACATGTGCGTCTGATCGACACACCGCGTCTCTCAATCAGAGAAAAAATTATTACCTTTCGAAGTTACTTAGACCAATTTCAATAAGCTGGAAAGTACGACGCATTTGACCCCGTTGAACCCCCTTTTCTCCTCGCTCGTTTTCGACTTTCTGTAATTTCGAGAAATGGCATTTTCTCCCGATCGATGCACTCGCCCCGTAGATGGCATTCTGCATCGAAGGCCACCCTCTTCCGACGACGGACGGTCTTGTGTCCCACACGGCCGCACAAGAAATGAAATCGAATCGGTGAATGATTTATTCGCGAAGAATTCGACGAATATCGACAACGCGAGACCGGAAACTCGCGCATAATTAGATATCGCCCGTCGGGGCCATAAATAGCAATGCGAGGCCCCTAACACAGGCCTTTATTGCTTCTCGATCGTTTCGTTCGTTCAATCGATTGATCGAGCGCGCGCGCGCGTGGGCGGCGATGTATCTCGTTATGGATAAACGGAGCGCGGCGCGGCGCCTCTCGACTACGTAATCAGCCCGACGATTGATGACAAGCCGTTGTCTTCTTCCCCGCTAAAAAAACGCGGCCGCGCGATAAAACGCAACGCAATAGCGACGGCGGCGGCGCGTTTTATCAGCTGGAGATTTCGCGCGCGGACACGTGCGTCCCCTCCTCCCCTTTCGGTTCGTCGATAATTCGTCTTCTGGGAAAACGGGAATACGCGCCGCTCGCTCCTTCTCTCCGCGTGTACATCGCATCGATCCCGCAGCAGACGACGACATACCTTTGTGTGTATATGTGTGTGTGTGTGTATTTATGCGCGTGTGTTTATCGCGCAATCTGTGATCAGATGGAATTACCCGAATAATATACAAGGTGTGTTCGGTATCTATCAATAACTCTTGATTACCGAACACGCGACGTTAGAGTCACCCCCCCGTGTGTCGTTACAGCGTCGTCGCACGATCTGAATTCGCTTGTGTGTGACTTAAGCGGACAATAGAATCGGCCCGATGACACACTTCGGCGTTACGCGCCGAGATAAGGACGAAATATATGTGTTATACCGGTATATATGCGATGCCGTAATAGTCGGGGGAGGAATCGTCTACTGCTAATGGGCGGATTCGCGTATAAGGCACGCGGAGATGATGCCCTGTGTGTGCTCTTCCCACGTCCGTTCGCGATGGGACAATCATCATCCAGTAGCGGATTCTCTCTCTCGTCCTCCTGAACTTATTTCATTTCTCTCGCGCGTGGGCGTCGCGACTTCCCACCTCTATCTCGCACATTTCCGAGAGAGAAAGAGAGAGAGAGAAGGGAGAGAGAGAGAGAGAGACGGAAACACACACGCCGCGCGTTATCGTTGACGTCACCTGTGACGCTGTAATTGTCCAATCAGCTGTGACAGTCGCCGGAGAGAGATCGAGGCTCGATGGCTTTCGATTCGATTGCGCTTTTGCATCTCTTTTGTTAAACGCCAAGTATAACAATAACGTTTATTTTACTATTATATCATTTGTTAACTTATACATTGTTATTTATATGTTATACATAATTTTCATATTATTTTTTGTTTTATCGTTTCTGAGAGAGAAGAGTCTTTTTATTACTCTTGATGTGTTTAAAAATAATTTTTACGTTCATTGCTTGTTCATTTTAAACGATTATTTCGGATTTTCTTCGTTTCGTCAACGAAATTGCGTCTTGTCGTTGTCGAAGATGCCATACGAGCATTGTGTGCGCCAGAAATACATCACAAAAAAAAAATATCTCTCAATCAGAGTTCCACGTGTAATGGTGTTTTTCCCGATAAGTTCCAATGTCGAGTATTTTCTCATAATCCAAATATAGATGCGCGCATCCATCACGTCTCCGCGTGGGAGTATCTAAATGAACGATGCACACCGGGTAACCCAGTAACTTTATTTTCGGATGTCTCGATCTGCGCGCCCCGGCAGATAGGATAAGAGTTCGGGGGATCTGTTCGTCGGGCAATAAAGTATCGTATTTTTTCAAAGTTATCGCAGATACTCTCTTCGGAAATTTGCAGAGCTTGTTTGCAGAAAAAAAAGAAAAAAAAGAAAAAAAAAAGAAAATTAACACGATGACGACTTGAAAAACCGATAAGCTTCTGTTTGAGCGCTTTTCTCGTTCGAAATCATCGCGGTGTGTACTCGACGTCGGAAGAATCAATAACACATCGTATCTCAACAACCACACATGTGTCCTAACAATCTCCGACGATTCTCCACGGTCGTTTCTTAATGAGATTATTGCGACTAAAAAAGAAAAGAGAAAATCGGAAATCGAGAGTTGTGTGTTCGGAACGGAAGAGATCAAGAATCGCAGCATCGCGATATTAATTCATCCGCCGCGCTTTCGAGAAACGACCTAAAATCCGCGAAACACTCTCCGCCGTGCCGCGGCTCAAACTTGTCGGCTTTCACGTGCGTGTTTGTGTTTGTGTGTGTGTGTGCGCGCACCATGCGGGCGCACGAAGTCGGAACAGCCGGGGGAACACCCTTACCTCGTTGATGTGTTTGTACGTCTTGATGAGGTCGACGCTGAGTTTCCTGAGGGGCGCCGTCGCTGGATCGCGAAACCTGTGGGGTATCCTGGCCTGCATGGCGTGAATGTCCGAGGGGGTCTCCTGCGTAACCCCGCCGGCAGCTCCACCGCCCGCGGCACCGCCCCCGCCGCATACCGCAGAGGGCATGGGCTCCTCGGCCACCAGGCGCCCGTAAAGGGGCGCACCGCCGGTTCCCGTCCTCCCGATCACTGGAAAAGAGACAAGCGGATCAATGCGTGCGAAGCAGAGAGAGAACATTCTTATGCGATTGACTCTCAGCCGATACAAATTGTAATTAACGCTCGAACGATGAAAACTCGTCGGAAAAAATGACGGGATTCACGACGGGAAGTGCGAGCTATTTGCAAGAAATGTTCCGAGTAGTTTTTACTTTAATAAAAAAAAAACAAGTGTAAAATAACAATCTTTGTAGCTGATCTTTTCACAGCTTTTTTTGTTGATTATTTAAATATGAAAGAAATTAAAATAATAGCTCGCTTGTAAAAGCGAGAAAAATCTTGTTCAGTTTCGGACGATAAGAGATACGCGAGAGCGACGATAAATAAATAAAGTCGTGTAATAGATACACAGGGATACGCAAGTATACGCAAGGGAAAAGTAACGAAAGATGATTGTTCATTTTGAATAAGTAACGCACTATTTGCATTGTACATGTTTATATTTATGTCACGTGTTTTATTATGTGCGTTATGCGTTATTCAATATTGGGTTTTGAAAACCACATGTAATTGCAGCGAGAATTTAATGGCCGCGCTGTATGCGCACCGCGAGAAATGGATCAATGCGCGCGTAGCCGCAAGTTTAGTTAATGATCAATATTTGTATTTACTGCTTCGTGTTGACGTTTATCTGTTAAGTTTATCATTGGGTAATTAGATTCGCGTGTATTAATTGGAGAACGTCGGTTGGCCAGGCGCAAGATGTTCCTCGATCGATCGCGCCGAGATTTCTCGATTAGTCGCCGTGCTCGCCGTGCGCGACATGTGTTTTTTTTTTCTCTCTCTATCTCTCTCTCTTATTCCGCTCCTTCAATTGCCGTAAAATTAGCCGTCGTATACATACCCCGCTAATTTGAAACAATAATCCAAGAGAGATTCGAGGTGAAAACGACGAATCTCTCCCGGTTCAGAGCGAGAGAGATTTCTTTTAGCGAGGATGATCGCTCGCTATTCAAACGTTTTTCGTTTCCACTTTCCTCGTTTTACTCCGTCGACATTAAAGCCGCGTCGAGCTAACGTATAATTAGTATTAGAAAAATTTCACGTAGTTGCGTGACCGCGAAATGAATTAAAATCGCCGCGTGCGCGCGCTGTTCTCTTGCGCAAACAGAAAAATCGGTTTTGTTGAAATTACTCCCCCGTCCGGATAATCCGGTAATATTATCCGAGAAGATATACGTTTAAACGCGCGCGTTTTTAACCTCTTTTTCTCGTGCCTCGCGCGTTAAGCCACTTTTCACACACACGTTCACTCCGCGTATAAATTTTTTAAAATTATTTACTAATTTTTTTTTCTTTCAATAACGATATTTTTTCGTTTCGTTTCTCTCGTAATGTGCAAAACATTGTTTTTTTTTTTTACCATTTTTTTTCCTTGACGCGCTTGAGGGATTGTTTCCGCGGAAAGATATCGTACGAGGCAATGTTCGATTCTCCCTGCGTCAAGTTCCCTCAATTGCCGCACTCAGATGATACCCTTTCGCGAATAATAGGGAAGAATCGTGACGATCACAGAGAGGGGTTGCGATGATTGTTGCGTTACATGCGGAAAAGGGCGCAGACGGCGTCTTCTTCCGTGAAAAAAGTAGTCCGTTCGATGAATCACGACGGAAAAATTGCAATACGTTTCGCGGAAGCATGCGTGTTAAAACTGTGCACATTGATTGTTTCCGCACACATTCCACCACGAGAGATGGATAGTAGGTTTTGTACACACGGCTCGCATACAGACCTTCGCTTTTCTCCGTAAAGCGAGAAGGTGAATCGGGAACGATGCTTTTTCGCCATTGACCGATTTGTTCGCGGAAAATATCAAGTCAGGAAAATCTCTCTCTCTCTCTCTCTCTCTCTCGCGAAGACCTTTAAGTTCTTTCACCCGCACACGAGCGAATTAAAAAGATTCTCTCGTTCCGTTTATATATTTTTTTTACAAATTTACACGCGAAATTCCGTTACACGTTGTAAAATAGAAGAATTTTACACGCTACAACGGGCTCAAAAAATCTTATCTGACAATTTTCGAGACGGGTGTTTTTTTTTTTAATAATAAGAACATTCGATTAAAAAAAAACACACACACAGTTTTGTAACGCTTGTGTTCTTCCTGGCGGAAAAAAGCTTCGCGCAAGTCTGGGGGTGTATAATCGAATTGGACGATCTACGCGAGGCGCGAGACCTAAATCTCGCGGAAGCTAAACGAAGAGCGAGAGTGCGGAAGTGTCGATAATTAACAACTCCCTTAGAGAGATAGAGAGTGCTCTGTGCGCCGGTAAATCGGGATGGCGGCGGAAGTGGTCATTAATTTTGACGTATGACTCCTCGTCTGTCCCGCTTTGGCACTCGCTGAAACATTACTGTCATTTTAACGACCCTGTTAGGTGGCAGAAACCGGCTCAACACCGTCCACTTGATACTATATGAAAACGATTGCCTTCTTGAACCATCTTCGTTTTGCACAGTATTTTTAGAGCGATTGCACCCGTGATTGCGAGTTTATGCTCGCACGGCTTGTTTTTTCTTGATTCTTATTCTTATTCGTTTTAGTTTTTTTCTTTTTTCAATTTTAAATTTTAAGCACCTAAATAGCAGACCGAAGTAAAAATCTCTTCGGATACAAATCGATTGGAAAGACACGTAACACGTGAGAAGATAAGTTTTAAATATTACAAATATAAAATATTCACGTATTGCGCAACCATTATTTATTTTGCGATATATTTGACAAGTGGAACAATATTTTTAGGAAATAAAACAAATATATATATATATATATATATACGTATCAAAAATAGTAGCTAAAATTATTTGCGTACGTTCTCACACACTTGATGAAATAACAAGTGAGGAATTATGCATGGATCGCGATTCGAAGGATGAATGCGTGATCGAGCATGTGACAGACAACGAATGAATGAGCGAGTGTACAAACAGATGAATGAACAAGCAACAGTGTACGTAAGCGAGCAGAATGTTTACATGCTCTTTATGCCTCGCAAAGTAGACGTTATTACCGAATATATGATTTTTTTATGTGCAAGTATGTTACATAGTTATTTAAGGACGCACGGACGCGTGGCACGTGACAAGTGCATTATCGTGTGCGTGTGCGTGTGCGTGTGTGTGGAAAAAAGAAATAACATTTTCGCAAATGCGCTTTGCGTTATGAAATCTCGTTTTTGTGAAATCAAACAAAAATGAATTTGCGGAGAAATTCATTAAACATCTCATTTTATCCGCACAAATAACACACACATGTACCAAATATTTAGCAAATTAAATCATAAAACCATCAAATAATAAATTACATATCAATTATTCGTCTGTAACGGTGCTGCTGCCTGCTGCGTCGCTATTTGCGTATCTCACGCGACATGAAAAATGCTGCACTCACGCGCGCGCGCGCGCGCACACACACACCTGAGCACGTGCCTAATGCAATTTCCAGCAAGGTAATCGCGCGCGACGCTCGCAATAATCAGCGAGCAAGATCGCCCGATACGTGGAATCCGCTCGAAGAAAATTTCCGAAGTGTCTAAATGTCCCTCCCTCTTCTTTTTGTCACCTCGTGGTATTCTCCATAACAGAAGCGAGGGGGAAAATTGAAAGGTCAACATCGACGAAGGAAAACGAGGAAGACAAAGAACGAACTTCCCCTTACCCCCGGCAAAAGAGGAGAAAACAATAACTTTTCCAACCAATCATTCGCGGGCAAACACCGGTCACGCGAACCTCCTCCTCTCCGACTTTTAACACGCGCATACATTATCGAAAGACGCGGCGAACCGGGAAAAGAGATTACGCACATACGGAGGGGGGAGGAAACAAAACCAGCAAGAAAATCGACGAGAGAAGAGAGCGGATGGATGTGAGGGGGATGGAGGAAGAGACACGGAAACGGAGTACAACAGGGGTAACGAGAAAATCACGACCAGGTCGGGTCAAATTTGCGGGCTGTCTATCCCCTTTGACCCGTTCCTTCCCTCCCGAGCGACCCCCCCTCATCCCCCACCTCATCCTCCTTCTCTTCCTCCTCCTCCTCCTCCTCCACCCGTGCACTCACCCCACCCTCTGCCGTTTTTTTACGAGCCACTGCGTATCGGAAAGCGGAGAGCTACTCCCGTCCCGACTACTCGCCGCCGTGTGGCTCCGTTTGAAATGTAGGCCAGGGCGCGGTTGAATGAAAAAAATATTCATTAACACGCGCGGGTCAGCGGTTCTCCATGCGCGGTCTTCCACGGCGATCTCGCGAGCATTATTCGCGTGCATACGCACCGAATCGGTGCACGTACGCCGAGTTGATACGTGTGGGTGGCGACCGGTGGTGGTGGTGGTGGTGGTGGTGAGAGGCGACCCAGTGATGCATCGCAGCGAGACGCTTCATTTGCGTGTCTGCGTCTCGCGGCCCGAGCCGGGAATCGATTGACCGCGCGCGAGTCTCTCATGAGGAGAAGCGGCTGTACGGACGGTTAGGAAGCTATGGCCTGCATACACAGGGTGGTCCCGCGAGCACGAAATAAATCTCCCGGTCTCTCTTTCATCGCGCAATCGTGCCGCATTATTGCAAAGTGTTTTTTTTTTTTTTCCCCCGCTCTGCTCTGTAATTCAGTTCTTGTTGGGCGGTTTAATCAAATCTCTCTTCGAAAACGCGAACTATTGCGAATTCGTTTCCTCAAAAGGCGCATCCCTCCTTTTTGCATCACACGGGGTGACGCAACAATAGAAAACAGTAGAAAACGTCATGCCGGTAATTTATTAGAGAAATTAACGTGTAGTTTCTTTTGTACGATTCTTCGTCGGAGACGTATATTATTCTCAAAAACGTGCGAGTTCCGCGCAAAGTTCTGTCGAAACTGTTCCTCACAAGCT